CAGCTCTGAGATGAATGGTTCTGGGGGTACAGCTGCCACCACCCTCCACCCTCTGGACCAAAGCTGATTCCCATAGTAGCATCCAGCAGGTGCCCACCAAAGTCACTGTGGTCTTGCTATATATCAGAAGGACTATAAGCATGACTGCTTTTGTGAAGAGCATCTTATTTCCTTATATCAGAGAAAATGTTAAGAATTAACTGCAGAGGAAAATACTTCTTCCTTCTTGGAAAGAAGAGTGCCAGTAGGACCTCAGTCTTTTGAGGTAACAGGCTGAAGAGGATTCCCATCAGGATAGGGTATCTTGACCTCTGCAACATCTGGGAATGGGGTGGATGATCTACAATAGCTGTCCAGGCTATGGTAGATCATGTGTGCTGGCAGAGATCTCTGGATGGAAAGACCATGGTACTGATACAAATATAAAGATTCATGTGGAAGGCAGTATTTTACAGCTGGGAGAATAAGCAGCATTCATTGAAGATGTTCCAGCAGCTAGGAAATGGAGAGAAGCTGGAATGAAGGTGTATGTCTATTCTTCAGGGAGGGTAGAGGCACAGAAACTATGACTTGTGCGCTCTACAGAGGAAGATATTCTTGAGCTTGTGGATAGTTTCTTTGCACCAAGTTAGGCATAAAGTGGAGAGAGAGTTATTGAAACACTGCAAATAGCATTGAATGCTCAGTCAACAACCTGTTTTTGACACATTAGAGGCTGGTGCTGCTGAGGAAGTGGACATGCTTATTGCTGTCGTGGTGAGACATGGCTAGGTGAAGTTAAATGATGAAAAGCCTATAGCCTCATCAAATCATTCAGCAAACTACTTGTCCTCTTCAACCTAGAAAAGGATTTCTAAGGAAGACAAACTGTTTCTCATAGTTTGTCCGTGTAGTCTGGTTTATTTCAATGGTAAAAGTAGTTTACTTTAAAAATACATATATAGGGGCACCTGGGTGGCTCAGTCGTTAAGTGTCTGCCTTCCGCTCAGGTCATGATCCTGGGGTCCTGGGATCGAGCCCCACATTGGGCTCCCTGCTGGGTGGGAAGCCTGCTTCTCCCTCTCCCTCTGCCCCTGCTTGTGTTCTCTCTCTTGCTGTGTCTCTCTCTGCCAAATAAATAAATAAAATCTTCAAAAAACAAAAATAAAGTATCTAAAAAAAAACATATACACACACATATGTAGGCAAATATGTATGTGCTCAAATTACCTTCTACAGGTACATGAGTGATAAAAATCTCCATTCAGTGAAATTAAAACTTATTTTAAAATCTCTGTAAAAGTTATGTGAAACTACACTAACCCCTACTGAGGGCAAAGTATGGTTGATAGAAAAAACGATTGACCTTCTTCCCTCTCATGCTCTTTCTCTACCATTCTCTCTCTCTCAATAAATAAAAACCTTTAAAAAAAAAAAAAAGATAGAAAAAACTATTAACAGATCAAATGTGTCAGTATCAGGTCATATACCAAAATTGAAAGCTAGTTTTGAGCAGTATTTCAGAAGCCTTGCTATTTTAAAAACTGAAAGTGTTTCAAAGTCTTATTCTTTTTTTTTTTTTTTTTAAGATTTTATTTATTTGAGAGAGAGCACAAGCAGGGGGAGCGGGAGCGGGAGTGGGAGAAGCAGACTCTGCTGAGCAAGAAGCCCGATGCCGGACTCCATCCCAGGACTCTGAGATCATGACCTGAGCTGAAGGCAGACTCTTAACCGACTGAACCACCCAGGCACCCCTCAGAGTCTTTTTTTTTTTTTAAGATTTTTATTTATTTATTTGACAGAGAGCCACAGCAAGAGAGGGAACATAAGCAGGGGTAGTGGGAGAGGGAAAGGGTTTCCTGTGGAGCAGGGAGCCCGACGCGGGGCTCAATCCCAGGATCCTGGGATCATGACCCGAGCTGAAGGCAGACGCTTAACTTCTGAGCCACGCAGGCACCCCGGAATCTTACTCTTAATAACAAATAATTGCCCTGTTTAATTGTGAGAGAATAAAATCTAGAAGATTGCAATAGCTGCATTTCACAATATTTGCCTACCTGCATACAAAAGACAAAGATAGTTGCCTGTGTTCCAAGAGAGGGCAAAATTAGAAAGAAAACTCATTTTAGTCTTGAACCAGAGAGTGTGTCTTACTTAAGAAGAGACTTGCTAATCGTTGTGGCGTCCACAGCAAAAAATCGCCTTACCAATGAGAAAGGTGCATTAATGTAAAGTTAAAAAAGATGTGGTTCTTAATGTTTCAAAATACAGTCCTAATCCTGTGAATTCTTTTCTTTTTTTAAGATTTTATTTATTAGAGAGCATGCACACGTGAGAGTGAGAGAGAGCAAGCGAGCAGAGGGAGAAGGAGAAGCAGGTTCCCTGCTGAGCAGAGAGCCCAACATGGGGCTCTATCCCAGGACTCTGGAATCATGACCTGAGCCGAAGGCAGACAGTTAACCAACTGAGCCATCCAGGCATCCCTAATCCTGTCAATTCTAATCATTATAGATTATAGCTGCCTTTCTGACAACTTCTTAGCATAGTTTGAGAAATTATATTGTTATTTACTATTTTTAAAATGATTTTACTGAAATCAGTCTATCAGATCAAGAAGAATCCTATATATTTTGACATGGATGTGAGAAATGTCAGTTTTCTAACAGTATTAATTATCCTGGTTCAGTTTTTTTTTTTTTTTAAGATTTTATTTATTTGACAGAGAGAGCACAAGAGGCAGAGCAGTAGGCAGAGGGAGAGGGAGAAGCAGGCTCTCCATGATCAGGGAGCCCAACACGGGGCTCGATCCCAGAACCCCAGGATCATGACCTGAGCTGAAGGCAGTCACTCAACCGACTGTTCGGTTGGTGACAACCAGGCGCCCAATGTTTGTTTATTTATTTAAGGGAGAGGAGACTTAAGCTCAGTTAAAAGCTGTGGGAGGAATTAAGAAAGAAAGTTGATTATGTAAGAGACAGAAGGGCTAATCAATGATTTATGCTTCCTAAAATGTCAGAAAATTATAGAATCTAAGGCAGAGGGTTAGCCTTAGATAATGGAAAGAAATTTCCTCTCTGGAACTGGAATGAAGGAACTAGATGATCTAAAAGGAACAGATAGATGCAAATGTAGGTAAAGTGTATGGTTTCTATATTCTCTGAAGTAGGGGATATGTACTGAGAGAAGGGGGGAGCTGAGGTGGGTTGGGGTTCAGAGTAGAAGAAGGAGTAGGAGTAAGGGCCCATTTGAAGTTGGTGTTCATGAATTATCAGTGGAACACACTTGCCCTATTTCATGACTTTCTCCAATAGAGTTTGATGACACAGGTACAAGCTTAGAGAAAAAAATTCATTGAGGATAATATTTTTGCCAGACAGTTTAATTTAGGTATTTAGCAAGAATGTTGTTGAAATGATGGATCATGGAATCAGAGGTTGATGAGAGAAGTGAAGAAAGAAGGCTGATAGACCGTAAGAGATAGCTTAATTTGCGGTGCCTTTTTAAATTTAGCTATAGTTCCCATAACATAAAATTCACTCCTTTAAAGTGTATAATTCAATGGTTTTTAGTGTTTTTAGTTGTGCAACCTTTACCACTATCTAATTTCTGAACATTCCCATCACCCTGAAAAGAAAGCCTGTACTTATTAGCAGTTAACTCCCCATTTCCTCCTTCCTCTGGCAACCACTGATCTACCTTCTCTGTTGACTTGCCTATTCTGGATATTTCTTATAAATGGAATCATAGTATGTGGTCTTTTGTATCTTGCTTACTTAACAATGTTTTCAAGGTTCATCCGTATTGTGGCATGTATCAGTACCTGATTCCTTTTCATGGCACAATAATCCATCATATGGATGTATCACATTTTATGTATCTACTCATCAGTTGGTGAATATTTGGATCATTTCCACTTGTTGGCCATTATTAATAATCCTGCTATGAACATTCATGTACAAGTTTTTGTATGAACATATGTTTTAATTTCTCTTGGGTATGCACCTGGAAGTGGAATTGCTGAGTGATATGGTAACTGTATGTTTAAAAATTTGAGGAACTGACAAACTGTTTACCAAATCGGCTGCACCATTTTTACATTCCTACCAGCAATGTATGAGGGTTCTGATTTCTTCACATTCTTCATCAGCCCCTGTTATTGTCCATCTTTTCGTTTTATTTTGTTTTGTTTTAAGTAGGCTCCACACCCAGCATGGAGCCCAGCATGGGGCTTGAACTCAAGACCCTGAGATCAGGCCCTGAGCTAAGAGTTGAACACTTAACTGACTGAGCCACCCAGGTGCCCCTGTCCACCTGTTTTTATTATAGTCCTCCTACTGGGTGTGTTTTGGTACCTTTTAAAAACTTATGTTTATTTATGCAAGTAATACATGAATTTTTATTTTTTTTAAGATTTAATTATTTTAGAGAGAGTGTGTGATGAGCAGGGGGAGGGGCAGAGGGAGAGGGAGAGAGAATCCCAAGCAGACTCCCCACTGAGTACAGAGCCCAGCACAGGGCTCAATCTCACAACCCTGAGATCATGTCCTGAGCTGAAATCAAGAGTCAGAAGCTTAACTGACTGAGCCACCCAAGCGCCCCTACATGAATTTTTTTCTTATAAAATATTTACACTATATAAATCAAGCTAAAAACCCTATGACCTCCACCCCAGTCAGTTCCTATGCCTTATGTAAAAAGAAAAATTGTTTTCAGTTTGGTGTGTATTTTTACAGAATTTTTAAAAATTCTCATTGTAATAGCCCTATATAGCCTTCTTATATTAATCCAACTGTTTTCAAAGAAACTCTGTAATGAGTTTTTTCTTTTCTAACCTTTAACTGTAAAATGTAGCATTTTTAAAAAAATGACAACATTGTTTAATAAAAATCATATCAAACAAGCAAGCCAACTAAATGCCTATAGATAAGTCTTATTGTCCCATATATTATGGCTTTTAAAATGATGGCTGTTAGTCTTTATGTATTGAAACATTATAAGTAATATTTTCTTCTTGTTCTTAGTGCCTGGCTCTCTGGCTATGAAAACCCTGTGGTGTCTCGAATTAATATGAGAATACAAGATCTAACAGGACTAGATGTTTCCACAGCAGAGGAATTACAGGTAGGTAATCACATTATCCTTAAACCATATGCTGTCACATTATTTCTTTACACTTTTTCAAAAATGTTGCAGATGAGATTTCCTAACATTGTACGGGCACTGATTAGGTATTGTAGGAGAGTTTGGGACCCTAAAAGTGAATATGCAAGCTGAAACCAAGCAAACTACTCTTTAATAATCAATGGGAAAAATTAGGATTAGTCTGTGAGCTCTAAAATTCTTTTACAAAACATTAAAAACTCTTACTGTTAAGTATAAATTTATAGGGAAATGAACAATATGTAACATTAATATTTATTAAGCGTACTGTAATTTTTTGTCATTCCTAACTAAACCTGTCGGGTAACCAGGGGCAGTTTTTTGTTTTTTTTTTTAATGTGTTTTTTGTCTCTTTTCTATTGAGATAGAATTCACATACCTTAAAATTTACCCTGGTTTTATTACATGCACATGCTTATGCAGCTATCACCACTATCTAATTGTAAGACTATTTCATCACTTCAAAAACTTTAAGCAGTCACTCTCCATTCCCTCTCCCTAATGCCACTGGCAACTACTAATCTCCTTTCTGTCTATCTATGAATTTGCCTTTTCTAGATATTTCATATAAATGGAATAATAAAATATGTGGCCTATTGTATCTGGCTTATATCACTTAACGTTATGTTTTCAATGTATAGCACTTTATTCTTTTTCATGCCTGAATAATATTCCATTGTTTGGATGTATCACAACTTCATGTATCTATCAGCTGAAGGATATTTGGGTTGTTTGCACTTTTTGACTATAATGACTAGTGCTGCTATGAATGTTTGTGTACACGTTTTTGTACAAACATTTAGATTTTTCTTGGGTATATATGTATCTATGGAACTGCTGAGTCATGTGGTGACTTTACAATTTGAGGAACTGCCAAACTGTTTTCCAAAATGGCTGCACAATTTTATAATTCCATTGACAGAGTATGAGGATTACAATTTTTCACATCCTTGTCAACACTTACTCTTGTCTCTTTTTTTCATTACAGTTTTCATTTGCATTTCCCTGATGGCTAATGATGTTGAGTATCTTTTCATGTGCATATTTGCCATTTATTTCTTTGAAAAAATTTTTGTTCAAATCCTTTGACTATTAATTGGGTTGTTTGTATTTTTATTGTTGAGTTGTAAGTGTTCTTTTTTCATTCTGGATATAGGAGCATTATCAGATATATGGTTTGCAAATATTTTCTCCCGTTCTGTAGGTCATCTTTCATTTTCTTGATGGTGTCGTTTGGCACAAAATTTTGAATTTTGATGAAGTCTGATAGGTCTTTTTTTGTTTTTTGGCTTTGGGGTTTTTTTTAGTTGCTTATGCTTTTTCTTTTCTATTTTATTAAATTCCAGTATAGTTAACATACAATTTTATATTAGTCTCAGAAGTACAATATAGTGATTCAGCAATTTTGTACATTACCCAGTGCTCATCATGATAAGTGTACTCTTAATCCCTATCATCTATTTCACCCATCCCACCACCCATCTCCTATCTGGTAACCATCAGATTGTTCTCTATAGTTAAGTCTGTTTTTTGGTTTGTCTCTTTTTTCCTTTGTTTGTTTCTTAAATTCCACATATGAGTGAAATCATATGGTATTTGTCTTTCTCTAATTTATTTCACTGAGCATTATCTTCTCTAGATCCATCCATGATGTTGCAAATGGCTAGATTTCGTTCTTTTTTTGTGGCTGAGTAATATTTCGTTGTGTTTATATACCATAACTTTATCCATTAATCTGTCAATGAACACTTGAGTTTCTTCCAAAATTTGGCTGTTGTAAATAATGCCACAATAAATGTAGGGGTGCATATATCTTTTTGAATTAGTGTTTTTGTATTCTGGAATTACTGGATCATATGGTAATTCTATTTTTAATTTTTTGAGGAATTTCCATACTGTTTTCCACAATGGCTGCAGCAATTTACGTTCCCACCAACAGTGCACGAGGGTCCCTTTTTCTCCACAACTTCGCCAACACCTGTTGTTTCTTGCATTTTTGATTTTAGCCATTCTGACTGGTGTGAGCTGATATCTCATTGTGGTTTTGATTTACATTTCCCTGATGGTGAATGATGTTGAGCATATTTTCATGTGTCTGTTGGCCATCTGTATGTCATCTTTGGAAAAATGTGTGTTCATGTCTTATGCCCATTTTTAAATTGGATTATTTGTGTTTTGGATGTTGAGTTGTATAAGTTCTTTTATATTTTGGATACTAACCCTTTATCAGATATATCGTTTGCAAGTATCTTCTCCTATTCAATAGTTTGCCTTTTCGTTTTGTGATTGTTCCCTTTGCTGTGTAGGCTTTTTATCTTGATGTAGTCCCAGTAGTTTATTTTTGCTTTTGTTCCTTTGCCATAAGAGACATGTCTAGAAAAATGTTGCTACAGCCAATGTCAGAGAAATTACTGCCTGTGCTCTCTGCTAGGATTTTTATGGTTTGAGGTATCACATTGGTTCTTTAATCCATTTCAACTTTATGTTTGTGTATGGTACCTGCAGTTTTGTTCTTCTTTTTCAAGATTGCTTTGGCTAGGGGTGCCTGGGTGGCTCAGTCAGTTAAGCATCTGCCTTCAGCTCAGGCCGTGATACCAGGGTCCTGAGATCAAGCCCCGAGTCTGGCTCCCTGCTCTGCAGGGGATCTGCTTCTCTCTCTCCCTCTGCCCCTCCCCCTGCTGTGCTCTCTCTCTCCCTCTCTCTCAAAATAAATAAAATCTTAAAAAAAAAAAAAAGTAGATTGCTTTGGCTATTGGAGGTTTTTTGTGGTTCCATACAAATTTTTGTATTCTTTGTTCTAGTTCTGTAAAAAATGCTGTTGGTATTTTGATAGGGATTGCATTAAATTTGTAGATTGCTTTGGGCAGTATGGACATTTTAACAGTATTCTTCTAATTCATGAGCATGGAGTATCTTTCCATTTCAGTTTCTTTCATCAGTGTTTTATAGTCATCTTCAGTTTCTTTCATCAGTGTCCTATAGTTTTCTGAGTACAGGTCTTTCACCTCCTTGGTTGGGTTTATTCCTAGGTATTCTATTATTTTTGGTTAAATTGTAACTGGGACTGTTTTCTTAATTTCTTTCTGCTATTTCATTATTATCGTTGTATAGAAATGCAAATGGATTTCTGTATATTAATTTTGTATCCTGTCACCTTACTGAAGTATCAGTTCAAGTAGTTTTTTTGGTGGAGTCTTTAGGATTTTCTATATATAGTATCATGTCATCTGCAAATAATGAAAATTTTACTTTTTCCTTACCATGTTGAATGCCTTCTATTTTTTTTTTTTCTTGTCTGATTGCTGTGGCTACGGCTCCCAGTACTATATTGAATAAAAATAGTAAAGATGGACATCCTTGGGGCGCCTGGGTGGCTCAGTCAGTTAAGCGTCTGCCTTCGGCTCAAGTCATGATCCCAGCGTCCTGGGATTGAGCCCTGCATTGGGCTCCCTGCTCAGTGAGGAGCCTACTTCTCTCTCTCCCTCTGCTGCTCCCCCTGCTTGTGTGCTCTTTCTGTCTCTCTTTCTAGGTCAAATAAATAATAAAATCTTAAAAAAAAAAAAATGGGTATCTTTTTCTTCTTCCTGTCATTAGGGGAAAAGCTCTGTTTTTCCTCATTTGAGTAGCTGTTTTTCATATATGGCCTTTATCATGTTACTGTGTTCCCTCTAAACCTACTTTGTTGAAGATTTGTATCATGAATGAATGTTATACTTTGTGAAATGCTTTTTCTGAATCTATTGAAATAATCACATGGTTTTTATCCTTTATCTTATTGATGTGACAATATCACAGTGATTGTTTTGCAAATATTGAACCACCCTTGCATACCAGGAATAAATCCCACTTGATCATGGTGAATGAGTTGTATTTTTTTTTTTAAGATTATTTATTTTGAGAGAGAGAGAGCAAGAGGAGGGGCAAGGGGATAGGGAGAGTCAAGCAAACTCCCTCTAAGCACAGAGCCCAATATGGGACTCAGTGCCAGGACTCTGAGATCATGACCTGAGCTGAAATCAAGAGCCAGCGGCTTACTGTGCCACCCAGGCACCCCATGTTGAATGAGTTTTTTAATGTATTGTTGAACTTGGTTTTCTAATATTTTGTTGAAGATTTTTCTGTTCATCAGAGGTATTGCCCTGTAGTTTTCTCTTGTGTAGTGTCTTATCTGGTTTTGGTATCAGGGTAATGCTGGCCTCATAGAATGTATTTAGAAGCTTTCCTTCCTCTTCTATTTTTGGAACAGTTTGAGAATACGTATAACTCTTCTTTAAATATTTGGTAGAATTCACCTGTGAAGCCATCTACTCTTGGATGTGTGTTTGTTGTGAGCTTTTGATTACTGATTCAATTTCATTGCCGAATCTGTCTCTATTTTCTGTTTCTTCCTGATTTGGTTTTAGGAGGTTAATATGTTTCTAGGAACTTACCCATTTTTTCCTAGGTTGTCCAATTTGTTGGTATATAATTTCTCCTAATATTGTCTTACAATTCTTTGTATTTCTTTGGTGTCGATTGTTATTTCTCCTCTTTGATTTCTGTTTTTGTTTGAGTCCTCTTTTTTTTTTTTTTTTGATGAGTCTGGCTAGAGGCTTATCAATTTTATTGATCTTTTCAAAGAATCAGCTCCTGGTTTCATTGATCTGTTTTTGTAGTTTCTATTTCGTTTATTTCTGCTCTAATCTTTATTATTTTCTTCTTCCTACTGGTTTGGGGTTTTGTTTGTTCTTTTTCTAGCTCTCTTAGGTGTAAGGTTAGGTTGTGTATTTGAGATTTTTCTTGTTTTTGAGGTAGGCCTGCATTGCTATAAACTTCCTTCCTAAGACAGGTTTTGCTGCATCCCAAAGATTTTGGACCATTTTCATTTGTTTCCATGTACTTTTTTTAATTGATTTCTTGGTTGGCCCATTCATTGTTTAGTAGCATGTTATTTAACCTCCATGTATTTGTATTCTTTCCAGTTTTTTCTTGTGGTTGATTTCTAGTTTCATAGCATTGTGGTCAAAAAAGATATTTGGTATGACTTTAATCTTTTTAATGTGTTGAGACTTGTTTTGTGACCTAATATGTGACCTGTTCTGGAGAATGGTCCACGTGCACGTGAATGTATATTCTGCTGTTTCAGGGTGGGATGTTCTGAGTATATCTTTTAGATCCATCTGGTCCAGTGTGTCATCCAAAGCCACTCTTATTGATTTTTTTTGTTTGAATGATCTGTCCATTGGTGTAAGTGAGTGTTAAAGTCCCCTGGTATTATTGTTAACATTATCAATTATTTCCTTTATGGTTTCTTTTTTTAAGATTTTTATTTATTTGAGAGAGTGAGAGAGAGCAGGAGCAAAGGGAGGGGCAGAGAGAGGGAGAAGCAGACTCCCTGCTGAGCAGGGAGCCCGACACAGGGCTCAATCCCAGGACTCCAAGATCATGACCTGAGCCAAAGGCAGACACTTAACCAACTGAGCCATGCAGGCACCCCCCTTTATGTTTGTTATTAGCTGTTTTATGTATTTGGGTGCTCCCATGTTGGGTGCATAAATGTTTACAATTTTGTATCTTCTTGTTGGATTGTCCCCTTTATGATTATATAGTGTCCTTCTTTGTCTTTTATTACAGTCTTTGTTTTAAAATCTGTTTTGTCCAGTATAAGTATTGCTATCCTGGTTTTCTTTTCACTTTCACTTGCAGGATAAATGCTTTTACATCCCTTCACTTTCAATCTGCATGTGTCTTTAGGTCTGAAATGAGTCTCTTGTAGGTAGCATATAGATGTGTCTTGCCTTTTTTATCCATTTTGTCACCCTGTTTTTTGATTGGAGTGCTTAGTCCATTTACATTCAAAATAATTATTGACAGGTATGTACTTATTGCCATTTTGTTACTTGTTTTATGGTTGCTTTTGTAGTTCTTCCTTTTTTCTCTTGGTCTCTTCTCATGCTTTGCTGGCTTTCTTTAATGATACACTTGAATTCCTTTCTCTTTATTTTTTTGCATATTTATTACCAGTTTTTGATTTGTGGCTACCATGAGGTTTATATATCACATCATATGCATATAGTAGTCTATATTAAGTAGGTGATCACTTAAGTTTAAATCCATTCTAAAATCATTAAATTTTTACTCCTCTACCCCCACCACATTTTAGGTATATGGTGTCATACTGTACATCCTTTTATTTTGTGAAACCCTTGACTGATTTTTATAGATATGCTTAATTTTATTGCTTTTATGCTTCCTACTCTTCTTACTCCTGCTTATGGTCTTTCCTTTCCACTCTCAGAGTACCCCTTTAACATTTCTTATAGGGCTGGTTTAGTAATCATGAATTCCTTTAACTTCTGTTTGTTGGGAACTACCCCTGCTTTTATTCTGTATGATAGCCTTGCTGGATAGAGTATTCTTGGCTGCAGGTTTTTTTTCTTCCAGCACTTTGAATATATCCTGGCACTCCTTTCTGTCCTACAAAATTTCTGCTGAAAAATCTGCTGGTAGCCTTATGGGGTTTCTTTTTTTATGTAACTATTTTCTTTTGCTGCTTTTAAAATTCGCTGTCGCTGCTTTCTGCCATTTTAATTACTTTGTGTCTTGGTGTGGACCTTCATGTTGATTTTGTTGGGGGTTCTCTGCACCTCCTGGAGCTGGATTTCTGTTTCCTCCCCCAGATTTGGGAACTTTTCAGCTATTATTTCTTCAAATAAATTTTCTGCTTCCTTTTTCTCTTTTCCTTCTATAATCTGTATAATGCAAATATTACTACATTTGATGGTGTCACTGAGTTCTCTTAGTCTGTTTTCATTTATTATCTTTTTTTCTCTTTCCTGCTCAACTTGATTGCTTTCCATTGCTCTGTTCTACTTCCTCTGTTCTATTTATTCCCTCTAGTGTATTTTTAATTTCACTTATTGAGTTGTTCATCTCTGATTGGTTCTTTTTTATGTTTTCTGTCTCTTTGTTGAGGGTCTCACTGAGGTCCTTCACTTTGTTCTCAAGTCCAGTGAGTATCTTTATGACTATTACTTTAAATATTCTATCAGGTATATTACTTACCTCTGTTTCACTTAGGTCTCTTGTAATTTTGTCCTGATCTTTCATTTTGGGACATAGTCCTCTGTCCCCTTATTTTGTCTCTCTGTGTCTGTTTCTATTTGTCACGTAAGTCAGCTGTGTCTCCTGCTCTTAAAAGTAGTGGCTTTATGAAGAAGAGGTCCTGTATTGCCCTGCAGTGCAATGTCCCCTGTTCACCAGAACCCAATGCTTCAGGGGTATCTCCTCTGTATGTTGCATGCACCCTACTGTTGCGGCTGAGCCAAGTTTGCCTTCAGTCCAGTCGTCTGCAGTGACTCTCCTTGCCTGTTGTGAGCAGGTTTTGGTCCCTGTGTTGTTAGTGGGCCAGTCTGGGGCCACTGTAGGCTAAAGTTGAGTCAGATCAGACGTTTGCCAAAGATGCAGTAGCACTGAACTGCAGGGTGCTTTCCCTGTGTTTTGCCCTGAGAAGCTTTTGTTGGAGGGTGGGGCCTGCAGTCAGACCGGCCCCCTGCTGAGCCACAGTCTGACGGGTGCATGTATTTATCTTCACCTCTCCCCAGGGCAGGAGTTACTTTGGAGTGGTGGAGGCCCCTGTCAGGGCTACTTGCACACTGCTAGGCTTGTGGCACTGCTTTGGATGGACTCTGGGTAAGAGTGTATTGGAGAGAGCTGGGGCTCATGGTGCTAGCAAGATCTGCACAGGTTTCTGCGGGTGAGGGCTTCCAGCCCCTGGGAAAAGTCCTGCCCAGGCTGGAATGGAGGGATGGGTCCATAGAAGAGCTCAGGAAAGGAGGAGGTTTGCAGTTAGTAAGGTTCATGCAGGTCTGCTGTGTGAGGGGACCTGAAGCTGCCTGGGATGGAGGGGGCGTGTGTGCAGAAGAATGTGGAGGCAGGGCTCTCACTGTGAGCAGGAGAGTGTTCCACTGCCCGGGTTCCCACAGGTCTCTGCATATCTAGGCTGGGGGAACAAGGGAGGGAAATGACACCTTCTAGCTATTTTGTTCTTAGAGAAGTGTCCCCAAAATCCCTGTCCCTCTAGCACATGCTCTGAGATTAGTAAATAAACTTCCTGTATACCCCACATGTTTTTCCGGCTGCCTCTTCTATGCTGTATCTCAGCTGGGCTGTGAGCAACACTCTTTTAATTATGTTCTTTCATTTCATCAGCAGGGCTGTTTCAATTACATTCTCCTTTCATTTTGTCATATTGGGATTCAAGGAAGGAGTTAAGGAAGGTATCATTCTCCTTAGTTTACAGATAAGAAACCTGAGATTGTATTGAAAGTTACATATATTATAACTGAGAAAACTAGAACTTAGAGATACTTTTCTTACTTCCTTTTGCTGCTTCACACTGAGATTGTCATTATCAACTGAAATTGTTAGGGCCCTTCAGCAGGAATAATTAAGTTTCATGTTAACTTCCTCTTTTACCTTAGGGCAAAAAAATGTGTAGGAGGAGATTTTATTAAAATAGATTGGGGGTTTCCCAGCATTTGGGACTTTGGAAAACATGAGTCTTGATTTAAATTCCAAAGGAAAATGTTTAGTAAAAATTAATAATAGAAATCTCAAAACCCTGGGGTGCCTGGGTGGCTCAGTCGTTGGGCATCTGCCTTCGGCTTGGGTCATATCCCAGGGTGCTGGGATCGAGCCCCATGTCAGGCTCCCTGCTCCGCGGGAAGCCTGCTTCTCCCTCTCCTACTCACCCTGCTTGTGTTCCTCTCTCACTGTGTCTCTCTCTGTCAAATAAATAAATAAAATCTTTATAAAAAAAAATCTCAAAACGCTGATTCTAGAAAATTTTAACTCTAAACATTTTAATTTAAAAATTCTAACTCAAATTTTAGTTTGTTATGTATTAGAGGAAAACATGTACCCCAAACATTTGCTAAAGAAAAACATATTAACTAAGGTTCTAAAATAATCATATAGTAGCTGTCCTTAGATTTTTATCCTTGGTTCCTTAGGAACTCTAATTGATTTAAACTGCTTTGCTTCTTATTTCTCTAGGAGTACATAACCATGACATATAAGACACCAAAATAGGACTTATAAATTTTTTGAATAGTAGTCTTGATTCTTTTTAATCATACTTTGTTCCTCTCCTTCAGGTAGCAAATTATGGAGTTGGAGGACAGTATGAACCCCATTTTGATTTTGCACGGGTAAGTAAAAAAAAAAATGGGGAAGGTAGGAGTTCTGCTGAAGCTCAGGCATGACATGTTAATTCTGTTCTTTTAGTATTAAAAATTTATAGTCTGTTTGCAATTTGTGGAAGCATAGTGGAATAGATACCATATAAAACCTTTTTAGCAGTAAAAAACCCTTAGATACACAGTAAAAAAAATTAGATACTTTTAAATGCATTGCTGAGCCTGGAAGAAAGTAAAGGAAATTCCCAAAGGCAAAATGAACAAAGAAAACTTAGAAACTAAAATTAGAGTTAAAGGGGGTGGCAGAAAAGCTGAAGCTGAAAGCATGTGCCTCCAGGAATATAGAGCTTTGGGGACTGTGGGAGAACCTACTGTGCAGGCTACTGAACCTGAGAGACCCATGCATAAAACAATCTCCAAAAGGATTACACCCTCAGAGAACGAATAGCTTTGAAAATAATCTGCTTTGAGTTAGGAGCCTTAAGGAGAGTTGCCTGTCATCACCCTGGTGGGGATGTAATGTGTATGAGAGCCTTTTCTGGAAGTTTGAAGGCATAGGCCTGCTCCCACATGAACTTTGGATTTGAAGTTTCACTACCCTGGAAGAGGAGAAATTAAAGTTGTTCAGTTAGGTAGTGCTCCTTGGTACCTGGCAGAAAACAGGCATCCTCATTCTAACACCTCAGGAATTTTAAAGATTAAGGTCAGCCAAATAGGAACTGATTAAAAAAGAAATTACTAACTGGTAATAAGACACCATTGGTGAGACTGAAACAACCCACACATTTAGATGCCCCCAGGATGTTAGGTACTTGAATTATCAGATACAGAATATAAAATAACTGTATAATATTTTTAAAAATTAAAGGATAAAAATTAATAAACTTTGAAAATGATTTAACATTTGAAAAACAAATGGAAGCTCTAGGTAGAAAAAAGTAATTGTTGAAATTTAAAGTTTGGATAAATTAAAACAGATTAGAGACAGTTGAAGTGAATTAGTAAATTAGCTGATAAATCTGAAGAAATTACAAGAATATGCTGAGAGAGAGGAAGATAAATACAAAATAGATGTAGAGACACTGGAGAATAAATAATATCGAAGCAGTTTGCTAAAAAGGTGTAACTTTTTTCACATTAAGCTATAAATTATACATTACCAAATCTTAATTAATTAAGCTTTATCATAATTACATGAATTCTAGGGGTGCCTGGGTGGCTCAGTTGGTTAAGCGTCTGCCTTTGGCTCAGGTCATGATCCCGACGTCCTGGGATCGAGCCCCACGTCAGGCTCCCTGCTTGGTGAGGAGCCTGTTTCTCACCATCCCTCTGCAGCTCCCCTGACTGTGCACATGCACACTCTCTGTCAAATAAATAAAATCTTTAAAAAAAAAAAAAAAAAGTAAAATAAATTCAGGAAGAAGTATTCTAAGAACTAAGAACTGTCTCAGGTACTTTAATAAATTTATTGATCCTATTACCATTTTAAAATAAGGGTAATTCTTTTGAAAGAAAACACAGCCTTTATTGTGTTATAGCCCTTGACCATCTTAAATCCCAGAGCCCTAGACTCTTCTGTGTAGGCCAGCAAAGAGTATATTTTTAGTTTCTTTCCCTTCTATTTTCAATTATTGAAAAATGTGTGAGAGTCGTGAATGATGTGAAAGAGTATAATTCAAGTCCTGACATTAGTGCAACTAAATTTTTTTCTTAGTTTTTCTATTTGGAAATCATTACAGATTCTTAGGAAGTTGTAAAGAAATGTACCAGGAGGTCCCGTGAACTGTTCCCTCAGCCTCCCCCACTGTTAACATCTTCCACTACTGTAGCACATTATCAAAACCCAGAGTTAGGCATTGGCACAAGCCACCGAGCTTATTCATATTTCACCAGTTACATTTACACTACTTTGGGTGTGTGTGTGTCTATACAGTTTTATTACATGTGTAGCTTTGTGAAACTACCACCAGTCAAGGTGCGTAAGTGCACCGTCGCTGCCAGACTCCCTTATAGTACCGCTCTGTAGCTGCACACACCCTTCTGCTTCCCATGCCTCACCGCTGGTAAGCACTCAGCTAACCTGTCTCCTTAAATGTCATTTCACAAATGTTAGATAGGCTTGTATGCAGTATGTATCCTTTGGAGATCTTCTCTTTTCACTCAGCATAATTCCCTTGAGGTTCATGTTCTTACAGAATAACAATAGTGTGTTCCTTTTTTATTGCTGAGTACCATTTTATGGTATGGACATACCTCAGTTTGTTTAGTCATTCATCCTTTGAAGGATGTTAGGGTAGTTTCCAGTTTGGGGCTGTCACAAAGATGTGTGTAAATTTCTGTGTGAAAAATCGACTTCCATTTTCCTGGGATAACTGCCAAGAGACTGTATTGTATTTTGATTTAGATTTTTAAAAAAGATTTTATTTATTTGAGACAGAGAACGAGCAGGGGGTAGGGGCAGAGGGAGAGGGAGAGGGAGAAGCAGACTCCTTGCTGAGCAGGGAGCCGACACGGGGCTCAATCCCAGGACCCTGAGATCATGACCTGAGCCAAAGGCAGACATTTATCGGACCAAGCTACCCAGGCACCCCTAATTTAGATTTAAATAGCCAGATGTGAATTCTCCAGCCAGATTAAAGTGCTGACTGTCTAAAAGAATGACAAGCATAATCGCAGTAAACATTTGAATGGATCATGAGTTCAAAGTAAATCTCAAGGTAAATTTTTCACCCATAGAGAACAGAGTTCATGAATGTAGCTATGAGGCTCTCATGTCTTCTTTTTGGAAGGAAAACTATAGGCATGAATTTTATTAATAATCTGTAGATAGTAGATACTGGTTTTCATTATTTAGGCTAAAATCTGGGGTTTTTTTCCCCTGCAATGATCTTATCAAAAGTATTCACTGTACAAGCTGAATTGAAATCCAACAAGTATTTAAGTGCCTGCTATATATTGTGCACCAGACATTATAAATGAACCTTTCTGGGTTGTTTTAGGCATATCCTTTAGCATATTACTGGTGTTTAGTTGCCACTAGATAATTTGCATTACTGAATTTCATTGTGTTTTATTCACAGAAAGATGAACCAGATGCTTTCAAAGAGCTGGGGACAGGAAATAGAATTGCTACATGGCTGTTTTATGTAAGTTACAGCTAAAATTTTTATTTTAGGATGGGATTTTATTACATGACATTTATTTTGATGTGTTCAGATGTTTGTTTTCCTTAGACCTTATTTAACATTCTAATTTAAAGTTTTTACAACTGAATAAATGGAGCGTTTTTTTTTTTGCATTTGTAACTTCTTCAGATAGTAATTTCAGCATTCTTATTCAGGTTTTAATATTGCAAACAGTCTCTATACTTGGAGATAATCATTGTTGATATTTTGGAGCATGGACTGTTAATATGCATATATAAGCATCTCTGTATATATTCACACATTTTAACAAACTTTTTAATTTTTTTGTTGATATATATCAGAAAAAGTATACAAATCATAAGTATTTAACTTTGTAAATTTTTACAAAGTGAACACATCTGGTGTAAGCAGCAGCTAGATCAAGATAATAGCACATTATAGCACCTTGGCAGCCCCATTAAGAGTAACTAACCATTTTCACATTGTTTATTAAAGTTTCAAACAGTATATTTTTTTATTTTTTCTATATGTTTAGGTATATGAACTGAACAATCTTAATTTTGGTCATAATATTTGCTCCAGTTCTCTACTCCTGCATAACAAATAACCACAAATCACCACAAAACTGAATGGATTAAAATAACTTTTTTATTATGTTAGTCACCAAGAGTACATCATTAGTTTTTCATGTAGTGTTCCATGTTTTTCTCTCTCTTGGTTGTGAGGTTGAGCGGGCTTCACTCCTGGTTTTTGCTCTGGATCTTTCATGCATTTGCAGTCAGAAGATGACTGGCACTGGGGTCATTTTGAAGGCTGAGGTTGAGACTGGCTTTGGCCAGAATACCTGCATGTGGTCTGGGCTTCCTCCCAGCATGGTGACTGGATTACAAGAGCTCATGTCTCCACAGAAAGCAAGGCTGAAATGCATGGCATTTTCATTACCTACCCTCAAAAGTCAAAAAAATGTCACTTCTGCATTTTATTAATCAAGGCAATTACAAAGATCTACCAAGGTTCAGGGGAGAGGACATAGACTCTACCACTTGATAAGAATATCAGTGTCACGTAAAAAAACATGTAGGACAGGGCATATTGGTATAAGATTTGGAAAATATAATCTACAGTGTTGTAACCTTTGTTAACTTAAAAAATGTATTTTATATCTAGACTTAAATTTTGCTTATTTCATTGCACTTTCCACCCCATCCCCATTTGAATGATACGAAAATGGCATCTCTTTGCTGTTTTATCTCACTCTCTACCAAAATCGGTGTATCTGCTCAGTCTCATTTTCTTTCTTCATTGCTCCCTGCTACCTTCCCTGTGTGTTTTTTACCCTCTTTCCTCCATTCTGCTTTCCCTCTATTCAACCTACCTTCTCACCGTCCTTATTATTCTCCCACCCTCCCCTCTTACAACTATCTGTTTCCAAAAAAGATTTAAGTACTGTAATATAACTAAGTTAAAGATGAGAGAGAATTACCACAAAGGGAAAACCAGGGGAGAAGCTGATACATTATACAAAATTAATGCTGTGAAATCTTGTGTACTTTTTAGAGGTGAGCTTCCATAATTATACCAATTTATAACCCACCTTTAAGTGTGATGTTTGTCTGACTTTGATCTGTACATCTTTCACTTATTAGACTGGCAGTTTTTGTGGCTTTAATTTGCATTTCTCTTATTAGAGAGGTTGGTCATCTTTTCTGATGTTTAAGAGACATTTTTTTTCTTTTATGATATTGATGCTGTATTACTTGGTCCAATATCCATGAATATTAGATTTGACCATTAGATTTTATGTTAATTACTAATATGTTCTCCTTTAATTATATAGCATTTTGATTATCTCCTTTAATTATATAGCATTTTGATTAAATTAGTAATTCATTCTCCCCCCCATTGTTTAAATACTATTCCTAGATGGGCCATTTAGCACAACTTTTTCATTGCTTACAGAGCTGATAGCTCTTTGCTACTGATGCTGTATTTATCATAGTAAAATACCCTTATTTATCTCACTTAATGCTTTTATTTTGTTAAATTTAAACTGTGCCTGATATTAAGATCAAACTCTGTTTTCTTTGATATAACATTTGCCTGGCAAATCTTTTTTTCAGTGTTTTAAGTCCCTTGTTTTAGATGTGACTCTTGGATGTAGCATAGTTGGGTTTTGATTTGTGATAGTCTTTATGATCTGTGTTTCCTTTGTCTCATTTTGTCCATGTGCTTCCTCAATTTGGAAGATTTGTGTTGTTTTTTTTTTTAAAGATTTTATTTATTTATTCATGAGAGACAGAGAGAGAGAGAGAGAGAGGCAGAGGCAGAGGGAGAAGCAGGCTCTGTGCCGAGCAGGGAGCCCGATGCGGGACTCGATCCCAGGACCCTGGGATCATGACCTGAGCCGAAGGCAGACGCTTAACCGACTGAGCCACCCAGGCGTCCCAAGATTTGTGTTTTTATTCTAGGTTACATTTTAAAATTTTTAAGATTTTAATTCCAGTACAGTTGACATACAGTGTGATACTAGTTTCAGGTGTACAATATAGTGATTCACCACTTCTGTACATTAACCGGTGCTCATCACAAGTGCACTCCTTAATCCCCATCACTTCTTTAACCCATCCACCCCCGACTTCCCCTTTGTTTTGTTTCTTAAATTCCAAATATGAGTGAAATCATACGGTATTTGTCTGTCTCTGACTTATTTTGCTTAGCATAATACTCTCTGGCTCTGTCCATGTCATTGCAAATGGCAAGGCAAGGTTTCATTCTATGGCTGAATAATATTCCATCGTGCATATATACACTACATCTTCTTTATCCATTAATCTTTCAGTGGATACTTTGGCTTCTTCCATAATTTAGCTATTGTAAATAATGCTGCAATAAACATAGGGGTACATATATCCTTTTGAATTAGTGTTTTCATATTCCTTCGGTAAATACCTAGTTAGGAGCACCTACTGTTACTACTGTAGACACTAAAGCTCAGCAGTGAACAAATGAAAAGTCCTGTCCCCATGGAGGTTATACTGTAGTGCAATAAATGCATAATTATACCCCTGTACTACTTGGTGTATTGGCTTTAAATAATCTCTTTTTACCTCTAGCTATAAGACATAAAAGATATCCTTATCTCCCTTCCTGACTCTATCATTTCTTTGCTTTTTATTTTTTTTACTTAAGTATGTAAACCCAAACAGCATCTTGTTTAAAAACTGAGTAGCATGCACAAACCTATCTATGTTAGGTATAAGTCCAGATGTTCTCATATTCTCTGCAGTATTCCATCTTCCTCACAGTGGCATATTTAACTTTATTATACCAGTGCTTCTGATAATACTCTGGAATTCTTACAGATGAGTGATGTGTCAGCAGGAGGAGCCACTGTTTTTCCTGAAGTAGGAGCCAGTGTTTGGCCCAAAAAGGTAAACTAGATTCATTTGTTATTTTAATTTTGTGGGTCTGTTTTTTCCCTGAGGAGATGCACCTCAGTTTCATGGTTTAATTAATGAACTACATTTTTAAAGACAGAGATAATCCTTACCAGGTAAAATTCACTTACTAGGTATACCAGGTAAAATTTTACATTTTTTTTTTTAAGATTTTATTTATTTGACAGAGAGACACAGCGAGAGAGGGAACACAAGCAAGGGGAGTGGGAGAGGGAGAAGCAGGCTTTCTGCTGAGCAGAGAGCCCAATGTGGGGCTCCATCCCAGGACCCTGGGGATCATGACTCGAGCCGAAGGCAGACGCTTAACGACTGAGCCACCCAGGTGCCCCAAAATTTTGAATATTTTTATGGCACAATTGTTATGATTACCTAGAGGAAATGAACAACCAAGGATTAGTACTTAAAAGTTTTCATTCCTAAAATGGGTTCCAGGGGTGCCTGGGTGGCTCAGTCGTTAAGTGTCTGCCTTCAGCTTGGGTCATGATCCCAGGGTCATGGGATCGAGCCCTGCATCAGGCCCCCTGCTTAGCAGGGAGCCTACTTCTCCCTCTTCCACTCCCCCGGCTTGTATTCCCTCTCTCGCTGTGTCTCTCTCTGTCAAATAAATAAAATGGGTTCCATATGACGTTTATCCCTCCATCTTGCTATTGTAAGATTTGTCAAGCAACTTTGTGGTGTTAACATTCTCATATGATCACGAAAATTTTGTAAATGACTGTCATATTTTTAGAATTTTATTAGAGAAGATATAATGCTGCCATAGAGGTGTACTTCCTCACAGGAACAGAGGAAAATTTAATTATTGCAAAAAGTGATAACCTGATATCTTATTTAGAGATAATTTTGTATTATTCTCCACAGGGAACTGCTGTTTTCTGGTATAATCTGTTTGCCAGTGGAGAAGGAGATTATAGTACGCGGCATGCAGCCTGTCCAGTGCTAGTGGGAAACAAATGGGGTAAATATTTCCTATATTCTCTTGTGATTTCTCCTAACATTGAAAGGGATTCAGCCAAGCCAGTTTCTGATCTTAATATACTTGCTTTCAACAGCTCAGAATTCTGATGACAGATTTTAACAGTGTTCCCACTTGAATAAGACAGTGTCTTTCACTCAAGGAGTTACAATTGTCTCTGATTGAGACATGCTAATGGATAAATTAGAATATGGTATAGTACCCACTAATACAGCGATGTAAACAGATGGTGACTCCTTATATTTGGGGAGGCTTCTTCAAAGCTTAATTTTAAAAGTTTGGTCTTGAAGCTAAGAGCAGTATGTTTCCAGGCCTGTTAGAGACCGGGGCTAGGACTCAAGTGAGGCTAGAGACACACTCAGGGTCATGTTAGCATGACCGGCCACATTAAAACAAAATAGAAACAGGTGAAGTTATTTTAATACATATTACTTAACCCTATAAATCCATTCCAGTATGTGTCAGTAGCCACCTTTCAAGTACTTAGTAGCCACATGTGTCTAGTGGCTACCATATCAGACAGCAGGACTAAGGAGTGACACCTGATCATTAGGATTTTAAAAATCTCCCCTGATGATAATGTTTCAGAATCACTGGACTAGAATGAAGAGAGGCTAGTGACTGGGAGATCAGTTTAGAAGGCTCTTTTCCCTTGTCTCAGTGGGCGAGGATGAAAGCCTGGACTAAGGCAGCAGCAAAACTGTTGGAGAGTAAAGAGATTGAAGAGATATCCAAGGAAAAGTGACAGGGTTTGATGAATAAAAGATTGGAGACAGGAGTTGAGAAAGATAAAAGAGTAATTAGGGGTCCTAGTTTAGGTATTTTGTACGCATTGGTGCCACTGATTGGGCTCTAGGATATAGGAGGAGTAGAAAATTCCATTTGAGGTACATTGAAAAGCAGTATCTTAGAATCAAGGAAACTTAATGAGCACATAATAGTAGTGATTGTAGAATTGTTCCTGTAGAGTGGAGGCTTTGTGTTCATTTTTAAAATGTCTCTATTAGAGATCGTATTTTGCAAACAGGTAAAACAATGTTCTGTCTGTACCTACATCTTAATTCCAATTGTGTTTTCATTTCAAGCCTTTGATTGAACATCAGAAACTTTAGGAAGTGCACATACATAGACTCTCAAATGTATGTCCAGCATTTAGGGAAGCTTTTAAAAAAGTGCCTAAGTACCATCTGCCTTCATCTTATTTGGTCTTAAACTTTTAGCTCATATAGAAACTTCGTTAAACTAGTTAGATAGTAGAGAATATTAATATTTTTTTCTCTCTCACAGTATCTAATAAGTGGCTCCATGAACGTGGACAAGAATTTCGAAGACCATGTACCTTATCAGAATTGGAATGACAAATAGGCTTCCCTTCCTCTCCTGTTATACTCTAATGTGTCTGATATGCACATTTCCCAGTCTTAACTTTCCAGCGTTTACAATTGACTAACACTCCATGATTGATTTCAGTCATGAACCTCATCCGATGTTTCATCTGTGGACAATCACTAACTTTGTGGGTTTTTTTCTTTTAAAAGTAACACTAAATCACCATATTGTACATATAAACCTTTAAAGTTCAGTTGGTATCACAGAGGATAAAGCAAAGTAGAGTTAAAAATGAGAAATTTTTACACATTTCTTAAAGAACTTCTTGGTTGGATAAAGAAAACAGTTTAAGCATCTGATTATAGTATTTCACGACACCTCAGTGTGTAGGGGGTAGGCTAGAATGGGCCATGTGATTAAGGAACAGAAGCTTCATAGTATGTACCTAGGTATTAGGTTTACCTAGTCTTCTTTTCTGGATCTGCCTGAAGACTAGGAATAAACTAGGCCTCTGATCTGGGTTCCATTTGATGTTTGCCCCATATGCTATTCTAAGTTGATTTTTTTCCTTCCAAATCTTTTTAAAGATCTTTAAAGTATACTGTATTTTACCAGTCCCATTCTTCTCTCATAGCTCCTCTGTGGTGAATTAAATCTGAGTTAAAATACTTTGATTAAATAAAAATTTTTTAACACAAAGCCCTATATAACAACACTGGGTCTTAACTAAAATGATCATTAGTCTGTTTCCCCCTTTTCTTAAATGATGATTTTGTCCATAAAATTTGCTGTTTTTCTTAGTGCTAATACCTTGCCTCTTATTCCTGCTATAGCAGGGTGATGATATTGGCATTCTGATAAAATATTGTGCCTTAGGAGACTGGAAATTTTAAAATGTACAAGTCCTTTTAATGATGAGGGAATTGATAAAAAAATCTTTTCTAAAAAGCCAAAATGTTTTTCTCAATTCTGAAATGTGTTGTGATAACAATGACCTATTTATGATCTTAAATCTTTTTTTAAAAATGTTTCTGTTTTCTGTGTGGTATTTTTCATATTTGAATGTGAATGCATGCTATAGTGCCAACAGGTGATTTCTATTGTTTTTTTTTTTTTATTGCGGAGGACTGAGGTTTATATCTCCTTGGTTTTCATTCACTTTATGTCACACTGATATGATAGAAAATTTAGGCTCTCTGAACTTGCAGATACTTAATCAAAATAGGTTTCCTTCAAAAGGAGCACTACAACTTTACTATGGTTATGGAGTTGTTATAATGTTACTTAGGCTCTCTCTTATTCAAAAATAAGGTGTAATATAAAGCTGTGACCATAGTGAAGTATACTAATTGACCCTTTGGACTAACTTTACATTTCTTATGGTGAATCTTAGTTCATACAAGGGCTCTATTCTTTATGCACTATTTAAATATTTAAGAAAGAATTTGGTTAATTGTTTGGGTAAGAAGATATTATTACTTTTACCAATTCCTTTCTCCCAAATACCCTTTGTTTAACAACTATTTGGTAGGAAATTTGAAAATTAGCTTCAGTATTTTAATCTACTTAGATTTTGTGACCATAGATGATGATTTTTTAAAAGAAATAATCATGTTAGAAGCAATGTAAATGCCAAAGGATAGAAACAAAATGGGGGTTCAGTGAATGGAAACTAACCTTTATCACCCTATGTGATTTAGCAAGTAGAATAAAAATAATATATATATTTCAGAAGGAAATGACATTCTTACAGATTTCCTCATTATATTCAACCCAAACTCTCCACGGGGATCAGTAAACTCTTTTCAGTGTTAGATCTTACAGAACCCTCCCAAGTTTCATTACCATTTTTCTTTCCAAATGAAAAGGAGAAAAATTCCGTAAAAAGTTTTGAGTCCAGTGGTCATTGCAATCTTTTTTTTTTATGGTGAACATTAAAGGAGGGCTACATACCAGCTCTGGATGCCCCGGGGCACAGGGAAAAAAAAGCTGTGATTTAAAGGCGCAACTAGAATATAAGGGAACTCTGCCAAAGGATAGGGGAGCTGTTGGAACTCTCTTTAGGTTGGAGGGGCTAGCAAGTGCCATGGTTTATGTTCCCCTTCACTTTGATAGCATGGATGGAGGCAGGGGCTGAGCACCCGAACAAGCTTACCTTAGTGAGACCCAGGCCTCTAGTCCATGCCAGTCCCAGCCATCCCACCAAGGCAGCCTCAGCTGCAGCCAGGATGGGGCACACACCAGGACACCCTTAGTGAGTGCTCACTATAGCTCCAGCCATCTGTCAGATGACAGAGGCACAGAGCACCCCAAACCTGCACCACTTTGGCTCCAGAGGACTTGCCAGGGCACCTGTGGCATAGCACTCCAGGAACCCCTGGCCAGTGCCTGCCATGGTTCCAGCCACTCCACCAAAGCACCCCTGTGTGGAGTGTTCCAGGATTCACTGGCCCATAACCTGCCTTAGCTCCAACTGCTCCTGTAGGGCACCCCCTGCACTGAGCACCCCAAGACACCACAGATTGCACCCACTATCAGTTTCAGCTGTCCTGCCCGGGTGCCCTCTGTACCAAGAGCCCCAGGACCAGGCCAGCCCATGCCCACTTCAGCTATGTTCACCTGTCAGGGCACACTCTGTGGGGAGTGCCCCAGAACTCCCCAGCTCACACCCAACCTTGGCTCCAGCTAACCCACCAGGGTGCCTCCTACATGGAGCATAACAGATACTCCAGCTTGTGCCTCATCTGGGTAACTTCTGCAGAGACCCCAAGGGCTGCCCTAGTCCATACACTCTTCAGCTAGCCTGCCGTGGTACCCTCTGCACAGAGAGCCCAGGGACCACCCAGACTATGCCCATTTCAGCTCTGGCCATCCCACAAGGACAGCCCCAGCACTCCAGCCTATGCCACGCACAGCTCCAGCCAGCAAACCAAAGTCATCAGGTACACAGTCTACATGGTATGGCCTTACACAAGACCATTCCTTTGAGTTTAGAAGTAGCTGTTCCACCTAATTCATAGAAATAAACACAAAGTCAAGCAAAATGGGGAGAGAGAAATACGTTGCAAATGAAAGAAGACAAAACCTCAGGGAACTAAATGGAGATAAGCAATATGCCTGATAAAGAGTTTAAAGTAATGATCATAAAGATACTCACTGCATCGCTTCTCGGCCTTTTGGCTAAGATCAAGTGTAAAGATACTGCACTGGAGAGAACAGTGGAAGAGCTCTGTGAGAACCTGAAAACGAGGAAAATATAAAAAGAACCAAGTTGAAGAATACAATAACAGGGCACATGGGTGGCTCAGTTAGTTGAGCGTCTGCCTTCGGCTCAGGTCATGGTCCCGGGGCCCTGGGATCAAGTCCTGTGTCGGGCTCCCTGTTCAGCGGGGAGTCTGCTTCTCCCTCTGCCTCTCCTCCCCAACATCTCTCTCAAATAAATGAATAAAATCTTAAAAAAAACTACTGTAAAGGGAATCAACAGATTAGCAGATGTAGAAGAATGGATCAGTGATTTGAAAGGATAATAGAAAGCAACCAGGATGAACAGCAAAACAAAGAAGAATTTTTATTTTATTATGTAGGCTTCATGCCCAGTGTGCAGCCCAATGTGGGGTTTGAACTCATGACCCTGAGATCAAGACGTGAGCTGAGATCGCGAGTCAGATGCCTAACTGGTTGTCACCCAGTGCCCTGAAAAAAGAATTTTTAAAAATGAGGATACATTAAGGGATCTCTTAGACAACATCAAGCAAACAAACATTCACATTTATAGGGGTCCCAGAAGAAGAAAGAGAGTAAAGGGTAGAAAACTTTGCTTCCTGAACCTAGATGTGTTTCCTTCCCCAGGTAAGGAAAGTTCAAACAAGATGAACTCAAGGTGGTCTACACCACAACACATAATTAAAATGTCAAAGATCAAAGAATTTGAAAAGCAGCAAGAGACAAAGTAGGTACAAGGGGAAATGCCATAAGACTGATTTTTCAGCAGAAATTTGTAGGTTAGAGGGGAGTGGCTGCTGAAAGGAAAAAACCTGCAACCAAGACTACCTGTAAGATTATCATTCAGAATTGAAGGAGGAATAGTTTCCCAGATGAAAGTTAATTACTACTAAACCAGCCTTACAAGAAATGTTAAAGGACTTTTCTTTACATGTAAAAGGCCATAATTAGAAGAAAATTCTGAATAAAAAGATGTAAGATATGATACCATACACAGAACACATGTTGGTGGGGGATTAAAAAAGTATTTAGAATGTGTTCAAACTGAACCATCAAGTTAATACGTATATACTTAGGATGTTATATATGAACCTCATGGTAACCACAAACCCAAAACCTGTAATAGATACACAAAAAAATACAAAGAAAGCAAGCCAAACAACACTAAAGAAAGGCATCAATCACAGCAGAAGGAACAAGAAGAACTACAAAACCAGCCAGAAAACAATTAACAAAATGCAATAAGTATATACCTGTCAATAACCACTTTAAATGTAAATGGTCTAGATGCTCCCATCAAAACACATTGGGTGGTGGAATGGATAAAAAACAAGAACCATCTATATGCTGCCTACAAGAGACTCACTTAAGACTAAAGACACAGACTGAAAATAAAAGGATGGAAAAAGGTACTCTATGCAAATAGAAGGCGGGGCGGGGGGGGAGCCAGGGTAGCAATACTTTTCTCAGACAAAAAGAAGAATGTAACATGACAAAGAAGGCCACTAACAATGATAAATCAATCCAACAAGAGGATATAATAATTGCAAGTGTCTATGCACCCAACATTGGAGCACCTAAGTACATACAGCAAATATTAATAGACATAAAGGGAAAAACTGACAGTAATACAATAACAGTAGGCGACTTTAACACACCACTTAATATCAATGGATAGGTCATCCAGGCAGAAAACCAATAAGGAAACAGTGTCATTGAATGCCACATTAGACCGAATGGACTTTACAGATATATACAGAACATTCCATCCAAAACCGATAGAATACACATTCTTTTCAAGTGCACATGGAACATTCTCCAGCATAGATCACATATGGGGTCACAAATCTCAATACACTTAAGAAGACTGAAATCATATTATGCATCTTTTCTGACCACAATGGTATTAAACTAGAAATCAATCACAAGAAGAAATCTATAATAGATACATGAAGGTTAAATAACATGCTACTAAACAATGAATAGGTCAACCAAGAAATCAAAGAGGAAATAAAAAAATATATGAAGACAAATGAAAATGAAAACACAATGGTCCAAAGTCTTTGAGACAGAGTGAAAACAGTTCTAAGAGGAAAATTTATGGTAATAAAAGCATACCTCAAGAAACAAAATCTCAAATATGCTTTCTAACCTTACACCTAAAGGGGCTAGAAAAAAACCCAAAAACCAAGGCCAAAGTCAGTGGAAGGAAATAATAAAGATCAGAGTGGAAATAAATGATAAAGAGACAAAAAAGAAAAATCAATGAAACCAAGAGCTAGTTCTTTGAAACAAATAAAACTGATAAACCTTTAGCCACACTCATCAAGAAAAAAAAGAGACAACCCAAATAAAATGAAATCAGAAATCAAAGAGAAGTAACCACCCAACACCACAGAAATACAAAAGATTATGAGACTACTAGAAAAAATATGCCAACAAATTGGACAACCTAGAAGAAATGAATACATTTTTAGAAACTTCCTAAACTGGGTTCCTGGGTGGCTCAGTCAATTAAGTGTCTGCCTTCAGCTTAGGTCATGATCCCAGGGTCCTGGGTTCGAGTCCCACATCAGGCTCCCTGCTCAGCGAGGAGTCTGCTTCTCCCTCTCTGCCCCTCCTCCCTACTCGTGCGTGTGCGCTCTCTCAAATAAATAAAATCTTTAAAAACAAAAAAAAGAAACCTCCTAAACTGAAGTAGAAAGAAAAACAAAATCCAAACAGAACAATTATAAGTAACAAATTGAATTAGTAATCAAAAAATTCCCAACAACCAAAAGTCCAGCACTACATGGATTGACAGG